GTATGGATACTTTTTCGTTTAATTTCTCTTGAAATTAAAAGTCTCCAAGGTTGCTAAGGACTTGAGGTAACAGGTTATACCTTGTTTTCAATTTGATTGAATTTTTTTTTTTGCAAAATATGAATATACATGTTATAGTGTCACATGCATCATTCTCCATGTATTCCATCTTTCATACTCACCAAACTCTTTAGGACATTACCCAACACTTTATTCACCATTTCGATTTGGCCATCAGTTTGACGGTGATGTGAGTACTAAACATCAAATTTGTCCCTAATTTACCCATAAACTTCTCCAAAAATGACTCAAAAATTTTTTATCCCTATCTTAGACAATGGTTCTTGGAATGCCATCAAGTCTCACCGCTTCTCTAAGGAGTAATTCGACAATTTTGGAGGCATTATGTGTGATATGACATGATATGAAATGGGCCATTTTTTAGAACTTATAGTATATTCACATTATTCATTTATATCGTAAAAAACTTATAGTATATTCACATTATTCATTTATATCATCACTAACAAAGGTGGTCACATCACCAAGTGTCCATTTAGTCAAGTAGCTTTGAATTTACTTTACTCACTTCCATATCTCCACAAAGCATAGCAATCATGTGGGACATTGATGGCCTCGACGAAGGCAATGTTTGAGTACACAAAAGTGCTACTCCTATCAAGCCTTTTACTTCTTCCTCGTTGAATTTTGACAATTTTGAGTCCACTATTTCAAGTTGGCGGTTGTTCTTGTATAGGTGCCAAGCTTGGGAATTAAGTAGGAAAGATAGAAGTTGAGATATATGAGTGATTGGATCAGGACGAGAAGTAGCAAATAAAAGTGAAAAGGGTATATATATGTATATGCAGATCAAATTTGGACTCTTTTGGTTCTTTCAAATCTGTATATCAATTACTAGAAAATAGTAAAAGGAGGAAAAAAAATGTTATAGCAATGTCATTCATACCCAATCAAGAAGATACATCTTCTCTTCTTCCAAGCTTGAATCCAAGTTTTGCCTCCCACTAACAACCTCTAGAATCACAACGCCAACGGCAAACACACCAGTCTTATCCGTAAGATATCCACGCATGACATACTCTAGGGCAACATATCCACTACATCAATACGATAGAAGCAAAATTCATTTCAATAATCTCATTAATGCAAAAAAAATAATATATTAATAAATTTCAGGTGTAAATTAAAAGTCTTAAATTGTCCCTGCAACATGAGTGCTTATGTGAGTCTTCTTATCATCATAAAGTCTGGCCAAACCAAAATCTAATATTTTGGGGATGAGATTACCATCCAGTAGAATATTACTGGCTTTCACGTCTCTATGTATTACTCGAAGCCTTGTTTCCTTGTGAAGAAAAGCTAGACCTCTTGCTACTCCTAAACAAATATCATAACGCGTTGACCAGTCAAGGTCCAAACTTCCTTTTCCTGCTTCGCAAAAGTCACAAAAGTTTAAATTGTTATTGACATGACAAATAATGCTAGGACTCTCAAGAAAAAACTTAGTACTACATATATGCTATTCATATACCAAATAATGCTTTATCAAGACTGTTGTTTTCTAGATATTCATAAACAAGCAATTGTTGTGCTCTCTCATAACAACATCCATGAAGTTTTACTAGGTTACGGTGTTGTACAGTAGATATGGTAGCAATTTCTACAGCAAACTAGCTCTTCCCTTGGTCAGATGCTATAGATAATTGCTTCACAGCAATTACTCTTCCATCACTGAGTGTTCCCTATTATGTAAAATGTTCAATTTGAAATGGTGAGAAAAATTAGTTAACAATTTATCAATTTTATATGATTATTATTAACCAAATACCACATCCTATCCTTATTCAATGAACCAAAGAGAACATAACTCAAAGATGACCCGGCTATTCATTGACATAAAGCCAAAAAGATTGTGTTTTCAAGTTAATATAGACAAAAATTAATGCTGAAACCTATAGTTAGTTCTAGAGAAAACAGTTAATATTAAGGCACCAAATGTTTTCACTGCTCATTTTGCACTGACTAGAACAATGACTTACCTTATAAACTAGTCCATAGCCTCCCTGTCCAAGCTTATTTGCAGAATTGAAGTCTTCTATATCAGTCTTTAGTTCCACATAATTGAAAGTGTATGGTCTAACATCCATGCCGACAAGCTCTGAAAACTCAACAAGAAACGTAGCTTACTATCAGGAACTTAGTTCCATATATTTCAAAAAGATGGCATAGTTATGTTCCTTTAAATTAACCTAGAATCCAAGTTCTTATCTTGTAATTCACTTAAAAACTTACTAATGGAACTCTGCTTTATGAATTGGACAAGCATTAATAAAATACATTGTTTCTTTTTTATGTGCAATAGTTTTCTTATACATGAGCCAGAGTTTACTTGGTAAGTTATGTAACTCACCTTCTTATTCAAACATTTTAAAAGGATTAAGTCAACCTATGACCGAGATGCTAACCTAAATAATGACTAGAACTAGATGTAGACTAATAGCAGTATTTTCATAGCTAGTAAATATGATAGATAAGACATCAGTGATAACAAAGATCTTTTGATTTACCGTCATCAACAGTCTGTGGCCTTTTTTTTCTTTGGACAACGAAGAAAATTGTAGCTAACAGAAAGACAAACCCTATAACAACAATAATCCCCACAATTAGGCCTATTCTCTTGTTCTGAGTCTTCTGACTTGGAGGTTTGAAATCTGTATCAAATCATAGTATTTAACTTAATATTTTTATAATGCAACCAAATCAATTGAAATCGGTATCAAGCACAGTACTTGACTCAATATCTTATATAATGCAAGGAAATCAACCAAAAAGTGGAAAAAAGGGCAAGGAAGTTGCTATTTATTGAACCTAGGGTAGCATTGATTGCCGAAATAGAGGGTCCATATGTACCATAGTTAGGAAAACAAGAAGTCCCTTTCCCAGCCCAAAAAAAAAGTGGATTTCCATTTAGTTTTCAGATACCTGAGCCATATCTTCTCTTTGAATTGCTCTTCTAAGGACTGCACCCACTACCCTTGTTATGTCAAAATCTTTTTCAACAAGATTTCCCTAGAATAAACATATTTAATGTTGAAACAGAAACCCATAAGAGTTGAAAGGAAAGATATTGGGAAATGTATTACGTTTAAGGTCATTCATCATACTTTAATCTTAACATAAACCTATGTGATGTATAGGTGAGGCATATTTGGCTAAACATATATATCAAAAACACGCCTCCCAATACTTTGCCATCTAGTAGTAGTGATATTTGCTAATTCTGCAAATTGGAGAGTCATAGTATACTTTCCGTTTTGAAGGCCTAAACCATAGTATCTTAAAGATGAAGCAGAGATTTGAGCTATTGTGAAAAGTCTTGACTTTTGAGTATTTGTGACTCAAGATGCAGGATTAATGTTATACCCTGTATTACTGTTCTCAATAAAGTATCCAACATTACTAACTCCCCATTTATTTGTGTCTGTCAAATTGTATGTAGTTGGACCAAGAGGCTCATTATCACTGTCATACACAATATCATTAGATGTAATTTGTAGACAGGCACAGTTAATTGCAAAACTCGAATCTGCATACCAGTGTAAGCTTTTATCAAAGCTAAAACATTAAGAATATGTATGTCCAAAGTTTGATTTAGAATATCTAGCAACTTATTATTTTACTTCTATTTAATTAGTTGTAATTATATATTTTATATTAATCATTTTTATTTTTCAACAATGAGAAAAAGAATATTAGAAGGGTATATTGATAAATAATATATTATTGTTATGAGTGAATTAAAAATTTAAGTGAGGGTGACTAATGAAATAATGAAGATAGGTAATATATAAGAGGGGTTTAATTGTAAAGAAAAATGAAAAATACAATGTCTTATATCTTAGCCAAATAGAAAGAAAAGAAGATAAGCTTTCTCTCGTTCTTACAAAGAGTTAGCTACGGGTGAGAAGAAAAGAAGAGAATGAGGAGAAGGAAAGAAAAAGAGAATAGTATAAAATTAGGTTGGGTTAAAATAGAGTCACACAAGAATTTATTAGAGTTGGACAATATTTAATTGGTTGAATTTAGGATTGATAATTGATATCAAAGTCTGTTGGCGACTCAACAATGCAACATGATGACCTCACGAGGATGTGAGGTCCATAAGGTAAAAGGTTTGTTACATCCCACACTGCTAGTAAATGAGTTTAAAATTCTTAGACCCTTATAACTAACTAGAAGCATTTTGGGTGTTTGACAGTTGTGTGAAGCCCGAAAGCAAACACATGCAAGCCTACATCCAAATGATTAAATTCAAAGGATCATATCTACTTAGTTGGACCATATTCAAAACCATGAGCATTGATTATTATGAAAATATATAATCCTTTAAAGATTGATGTATTTACTAATTATTGGTGTGGACCAAGATCACATGTTTATTATGTATGTTGTGGGTTGATGAATGGCTATTAGAAGTGTTTTTAACAAAATATTTAAATCTGGGACGAGTATTAAAATAGACGTTACTCTACCTATATTTTAACCCTAAACTCTCGGAACCACAAAATGGAGAAGTTTTACTTAGAGATTCTAGAACTTCGATAGCAAGGAAAATTGCGTTGGAAATAGTTAAACCCATACGGGAGAAAACTGAAGGAAGAGGAAGAACATTGAAATCATGTTAGTTACTAAAGAACCCATTTCCATAAGTTATCCATTATCCTTCATTTTCATTGTTACAAAGAGTCTCAAGCTTTTTAACAAAGCATAGGACAAGAGAATTACCTGCCGTAATTAGAACTTTCTAGGTTGAAGTTGTTGGCCACTAAGTTAGTGCATATTCCACCAACAGCATTCTAAATATTAGTTTCATCATTGTGTAAATACTATATTGGAAAGTAAAAATTTATCTAAGAAAATGTGAAATGTATAGTAAAGATGTTAAATAAATTATATGTTTAACAAAATTAAGGACGTACAATTGTAAATTTTGTTCTTGAATCCAAGAAGGCAGGCTACCAGATAAATTATTGTAAGATGCATCTCTTCCAACATCAAGTGAGGAGAATGTAAACTACACAATGCAGCAGCTTGCAAGTATAAAATTTAGGCATTATTCAAATCACACAGTTTTTTTTAAAGCTTTTGACACCATCTAAACCTCAACTTCCCAATTTTTTCCCAAGAACCCCACCGGTCTAAGTAATTCACATTAATCCAGAAGAAGCTATCCACTTGAAAGTCTAGATTAAGAATGCAAGTTTAGCCTTTCACTAGGGTGGCTTTGGCTACAAATTATTGTTCTTGGAAAAACTCGACTTGTAACTATACCTTTTCGGTTGACATGTTTAGTTGAACATTCTATTTTGGAACGATGTAATGAGGTTGATGCAAATATGACAAAAATACTTACATATTGAGAAGTTTTGAACCTTTTAGTTTAGGGAGGGTACCATTTAACTTATTATTTCCAAGAAACCTGAGTACAAAACCAGCAATTCATGTTTTACTATTATGAGTAAACTATGGGAAGTGAAAGCCATGACAAATCAGAAATGGTAGGTTACAACTTACAGGCAAGTTAGTGAACTCAAATTGAAAAACGAGATAGGAATCTATCCACTTGTATTGTTGAAACTCAGATCTCTGGAGAAAAAATATCAAAATTCACAATTGTAAGATGAAGAAACTTGCTAATAACTAAAAAGCAGTATATGAAACCAACAATCTTTAACAGAGAAAGAAGAGGAAGAAAAACAGAAAAGGCATATATGAGGTAATTCAACCATGATATTACAACTTTGACAAGATTTGTAAAGATTTCAAATTCCTTATAAATGACAACGACGATGAGCTCCTATTTTATAAATCGCTTATCCTCCTGCATTTTTATTTTTCATGGGATTAAGATTGTTACATTGATTATTGCAATAGTAAAACATGATCAATAAAATATTGCTAGTGAACACTACAAATCTGTCAGATTTGTATCGGCCCTTCATAAGAGTTTCCTTGAAAACTCCTACAATAAAATGTATGACAAGAAATAAACGAAATTCTCAGTTAAAAAGCTTTAACCTAAAGTAACTCAAGAGTGATTTAGCATAAAATAGAAATAAAAAAAAATTAGAATAGTGTTCTCACAAGTCTTTCATATTTGACCAGTTTCCTATGAAGTCAGGGATCCTTCCTGTAAGTTCAATGTCAAAAGCCCTCCTGAGCACAATAAAAACAGTTTATTTAAGTCTGATGCAAGCCCTTTTTTAATTAGCAGAGGGTTTACTTCACATTCTTCCCTTAAGGAGAAAATTCTTCTATTGAATTTAAGATTTGTAAATTTCCAATTAGAAAATTAACATAAGAGGTCCTTACAGTAACACTAGGTTCTTTAGATTAGCAAAACTTGAAGGAATCTCACCACTTACTCCAAAACTGTATATATCTGCCCAGGTAAAGAATATTTACAAATTCCATCACTATTCAGTATCTTGACAATAAAAGCCCTCACTAAGTAAACGAATTACGTGACACATGATAGAATAATCTTTTGTGTAAGTAACTGAGAATTTGGTTTATGTTAAAGCTAAGACTAAAGCCAGCTGAGGTTTTCACCTTTTGCATCCTTGTACAGAACGTTATAGAGTCAGATATGCTCAATATAAGCAAAATGTTGCATTGAAAATGAAACCGAAAAGTCTATAAAAACTTACAATGTCAATAATTTCGTCAAATTACCGAGCTCAGGTGGCAGAGGACCATTGAAGTTGTTTGTTCCAATTCCTCTACATCCTAAAGAATTTAGCTCTTCAGTTATGTAATTGTAGTGCAATTACAAAAAAAGAGTTCGTACAAGATCTGCTCAATATAAGCAAAATGTTGCATTGAAAATGAAACTGAAAAATCTGTAAAAACTTACAATTTTGTTAATTTTGTCAAATTACTGAGCTCAAATGGCAGAGGGCTAGAGAAGTTGTTTCTTCCAATTCCTCTACATCCCCAAGAATTTAGCTCTTCAGTTATATAATTGTAATGCAATTACCAAAAAATAGTTTGTACTGTAAATTATCAGAAGTTATATACAGTAGTTAAGAAGGGGACAGAGTTTGAGCTTACAAGACTTCTAATTCAGAAAGCATCCCAAGCTCTTTTGGAAGCTGCCCAGATAATCTATTACTTACAAAGTCCTTGATCAAAATGACAATTAATTAGCATAAGAAAAAGGAAAATAGTATGTAGTTTCAAAATTAAAGTTTTATACCAACTGCTTACAGGATTTTTAATGTTGTTAGATTCTCGATAAATGGAGAAAGTGAACCTGACAAGCTGTTAACAGTCGCCCTCCTATAAAAACAGAAAAACTGGTAAGATTAATATTTAAGAACACAAAGCTCAAATCATTTTATGATGTTGATACAGTATGGGGTCAAGATATTTAACATAATTTAATAAAATAAAGTAAAATATTTTAATAACCACTCACCCTCATCAAATGATCTAAAAATGATACACAATTGAAATAAGCATATATGAAATTTACAAAACCATACAGGTAGGTGAGGAATTTCAAACTCCATAGTTCATCTGGGATCACACCATCAACTCCTAGTATGTAAACTTTCCTATACTTTAAGAAATTGAAAGTAAGCAACCCTGAAATTAAAGAAAGGCTCCAGTTCTCAAAATTCTGTCTTTTTCTACTTACATCTCGATAATCTGGCAAAGAGCATAATTGTTGCAAGAATATAAACTTCAAAAAACAAAGAGCAAGAATATAAAACTCAGAAAACAGAGAGCAAGAACAGGTTAAAAAAAAAATTAAAGCATTGTATTTTTCACTCCCTTTTTTTTTTTGGTCCCTCCTTTTACAATTTATAAAGAAATGAATTAGGGATGATCCCTGTTGACAGTCATCTCAGCCGCTCAATCTATATAGCAGAGCTTCCATTCTAGCCATTGGATTAGTTTTTCTTGATGCAAGTTGCATGGCAACTTGTCAATTTGCATAACTGAAAAACTGAAACTTGTCAACTTGCATAACAGTTTCCACCGCACTTCGTCAACTTGTTCAACTGATTTTTCATCCCCTTGCAGTTTGTTGAAGAGAAAACGAAAAGTGTGTTGACATCTGAGACACAAACTTTATCTGCTTGAGCTGAAGTTAACAAAGAACAATCACATTTGATAAATGGGTTGTATCAATGGCAATGGAGTCGTCAATTGCCGCTCCACTGCATGGCTTTCCACTTACAGATATCTGCCATTTATCAAATATAAATTCACTGTTATCAGAAGAGAAGCATCTCAAAAAATGAAGAGAATGAAGTGAGTGACAGAGTCTGAATGTGAAGCATCTTTCAAAGTTAAAATAATAAAAAGAAGAAAAGTAAAAGTTTACTTAGAAGCAGACCTTCATTCTAGCCATTGGAAAAGTAAAATAGATTATAATCTCTTTAATTTATTACTAATTTTCACTTATTCCAAGTCTTTATATGAAACTAGTTTCCCAATTAGTATTCTTCACAAAAATAAAATAAACTAAAAAATTAGAATATAGATGGTACTTTTTATAGTTCATAATGGAAAATAGTAGCGAGCAAATTCTATATTTTATCTAAAACGACATATAAAACATATTTTTATTTTCTCAAATCATGTTTTTTCCCGATGATTTTTTAAATGTTTTTAAAATTTTTAAATTACAGATTATTTTAGATTTTATACTTCATAAAATTTAAATTCAAAGAGTTTATCTATATAATTTTGTAAAAAATGTATACATATTGTTAGTCCCTTAGAAATCAAGACTTTAGGTTCATAGTCTTATCTCATGTGACACACATATGCGGTAATGAAGGTTGTAGACTTTCGAATCAGTTAGTGTTATTTTATCTAATCAATTCAAAAACAAATATTATAAATAAATATGTTTTTTTGTGGATCATTTTATTTTATTTAGAAAACAAGATTAAGCACATTTTATACGACAAGATAATAATATTTTTCTTAAAATATGTATGAAAGTAACCCAAATTTTCAAGTCAATTACTTTAATTTGTTGAAGTCTTAAAGTGGTGGGAAACTAATTAACCTAATTAATTTAACCTTAAAGACATTACTTTCATTCTATATTTAAATTTTAATTGTTAAATTTTCCAAGTTAAATTCACTTTTTTCTTTTTTTGGAATAATGCATGGAAAGTTGTTGGATGCAACCTATGTAAGAAGTTAAAAGTGGAAATAATATCTTAGTATATTGTTTCATTTCTAGTCTTTTTTTTAATTGTTGTCCCGTTTACTTATTCTGAAAAAAAGGTAATTTTTTTTTTTTTGATAAACCCGATTATTAAATAAAAAAGAAAAAAAAATTACAAACTAGAAAGGGGAGCCCTTCCCCCACAAGAGCCTTGGACAAACCCCAGGATCAAACTAACAAGAACAAAGGCCATAACATATTCTGAAAACAGGTAAATTTTTTTTTTTTTTTTTTTTTTTGATAAACCCGATTATTAAATAAAAAAGAAAAAAAATTACAAACTAGAAAGGGTAGCCCTTCCCTCACAAGAGCCTTGGACAAACCCAAGGATCAAACTAACAAGAACAAAGGTCGTAACATAGGAAAAACAATCCTCTGCCAGCTAGGCCTTATTAACAAGAAGGCCTTGACAAAAGCCCTAAAGCAAGCTATACAACATTTTCATATAAAGAAATGTTTCAAGCCCAAAAGCCTAAATAAACCCTCCGGCTCAAATAACACATGCCCAAGGACTTCACACATTGATTTAAAAACAATAGGCCCAAGAATGCACAACCCAATTGGTGAAAATAAATAAAATGAAATTATATAGAATCAGTGAAAGTTGTTGGATTCAACCCATATAACAAGTTCTAAATAGAGCCAATATATTATTATATAGTTGGATTTTTTATCCTCTCTAATTTTTTTAGAGGTTACTAGCTACAAAAGAGGCGATTTAGTGGTATTGATATTTTTACAAATAAACTAATGATATTTAAGTACAATCCTTAGAAAATTTACATAAGTACATCTTAAATTGTGATAGAATATTGTTATTATATAATTGTTCATCCATTAATGAAATTCCATTTTCGTCCAATTGAGTAATAGGTAACCATGTTCCAAGCAAGCAACAACCTTAAATAAAACTATAAAAAGTTACCTTAACTTTGGGATAATTATTTTCATAAGCTTTGAATCCAATACACTTTAATACATTTTTTTTTTCCCAATATTATTTAGGTTCAAAATGAGGAATTACAATCAAACTGCAAATCAATGGATCTTAAAACACTTGTAATAATTTACCAGGAACATGTGAAGTGTCATTGAGTTCACATAACTTCATATGGCTTTTCCTAGTGATTATAAAAGAATAGGGCAATCAATTAAGAAAATCACAACTAAAACAACTAGGCTAGCCAGTAATAACAAAATATACCTCATAGAGACGTTTAGAGTTACTTCATCTCATAACTATCACTATAACCAAATTAACCAATACCTAATGCATCCTTCATTTGTCTCAACTGCAACACCAAATACAAACTATACTCATGCGAACATCACATCACTTTCACCAAATGTACCTCTCTCCAATAACCATTGCCGTGAGGGTCCAGATCCACTATGAATAATTCTTATTAAATTTCTTGACAATTGACTCTACAAACCAGTTAACACTTTGGAATAAATTGTGGGTAATATATGACTATTATATTGGGATAATTTCTTTCATAATTAGCATGCTAGAATATTTTCTTTATACACGAAGATCACGTTCTACCAATGGATGTAGAAATTCTTTAACTTTGGTATTATCATATACATAATATTATAAGTCGGTCACCCAAGCTTTAATCGAGTTTATGTTGAAATTAGATTCGTGGACTATATTTTTATTAGTCAGTAGAAAATGTAACACTTGAAATTTGAAGTTGTAAATTTGATTTAGGAGGTGATCTTGATTGTTTTATTTTTTTTGAAAGTGAATTGAATTTAAAGTTTAAAAACATTTTAAGGTGGATGTTTAATTAGTACTCTTGACGTGTTTAAAAAGAAGAAATATGGTTCACTGATCGGTTGCAGAAACATGGTGGATTGTAACAACCTAATTGCGTCCCACGGTACTAAGCTAAACCTAGGTAATTGGGCTAAGCTTATATAATAGTTGGGCACCTTTCATTTCAAATCAAAGAATATACATAAAAGAATATTAATTTGTTATCTATCATTTCCAATAATGACATGGAAAAGTCCTCAATTTCAATTTCCTAGTGAAGCTTTAGCCCTTGTGCTTGTTGAACAAGAAGTAGTTCAAAATCTATTATGTATATTTTTTACTAGAGTTTATTGGTCTTAAGTTTTTTAAAATTATGAATAACAATTGTGTTGAACTAACATGAAATAAAACTCGAATCTAAAGTAAAAGCCAGTCAATGGAATAGGGCTTCAGTGGCACTTATTTCTGGAGTTTTATCCATTGTACATAACCTGGTTGGGGAGATGTAATGGCTAGTATCTTCACATTCTTCATTTATATGATCACTAAAAAGGTGGTCACATCATCAAAGGCCCATTTAGTCAAGTATCTAGGCTTAGAATTCACTGTACTCACTTCCATATCTCCACAAAGTGTAGCAATCACGTGGGACATTGATGGCCTAGAGGAGGGCAATGTCTTGAGTACACAAAAATGCTACTCCTATCAAGCCTTTTACTTCTTCCTCGTTGAATTCTGACAATTTTGAGTCCACTAGCTCGAGTTGATGGTTGTTCTTGTACAGGTGCCAAGCTTGGGAATTAAGTAGGAAAGATAAAAGTTGTGATATATGAGTGGTTGGATCAGGAGAAGTAGAAATAAAAGCGAATATATATATATATATATATGCAGAATAAATTTGAAAGAATTTGACCTCGTTTGGTTCTTTCAAATTTGTTTATCAAGTATTAGAAAATAGTAAATGGAGAAAAAAATGACACTACAATGTCATTCATACCCAATCAAGAAGATACATCTTCTCTTCTTCCAAGCTTGAATCCAAGTTTGGCCTCCCACTAACAACCTCTAGAATCACAACGCCAAAGGCAAACACATCAATCTTCTTCGTAAGATATCCACGCATGGCATACTCTGGTGCAACATATCCACTACATCAATACAATAGAGGCAAAATTCATTTCAGTAGTCTAATGAATGTAGAAATATAACATTTTAATAAATTTTAGGTGTTAATTAAAAGTCTTACATTATCCCTGCAACACAAGTGCTTATGTGAGTTTTCTTATCATCATAAATTTTGGCCAAACCAAAATCTGACATTTTGGGGATGAGATTACCATCAAGCAGAATATTACTGGCTTTCACGTCTCTATGTATAATTCAAAGCCTCGATTCCTCATGAAGATAAGCTAGACCTCTTGCTACTCCTAAATAAATATGATAACACATTGACCAGTCGGTCCAAACTTCCTTTCCCTGCTTTACAAAAGTCACAAATGTTTAAACTATTATTGACATCACAAATAATGCTAGGACTCCCAAGAAAAAACTTAGTACTACATATATGCTATTCGCATACCAAATAATGCTTTATCAAGACTGTTGATTTCCATATATTCATAAACAAGGATTCGTTGTGCTCTTTCATAACAACATCCATGAAGTTTTACTGGGTTACGATGTTGCACAGTAAATATAGTAGCAATTTCTACAACAAACTGGCTCTTTCCTTGGTGGGATGATGCAGATAATTGCTTCATAGCAATTACTCTTCCATCACAGAGTTTTCCCTATGGTGTAAAAAGTTCAA